GGCATAGATTTCCAGATGGAAGGCAGTCACAACAAGGATTTGTTTGATGTGCCTTCCTCTTGGCATGTTTATTCATTTTATTGTCAAAGGCTTTCATGGCCGGAATCATTGGGTTGTTGTAGATTTTTTCAGGCTATATGGCCATGTTCTAGGGCAGTGGTTCTCAACCTGGGGTCCTCAGATGTTTTTGGCCTCCAACTCCCAGAAATCCTAACAGCTGGTAAACTGGCTAGGATTTCTGGGAGTTGTAGGCCAAAAACATCTGGGGACCCCAGTTGAGAATCACTGTTCTAGAGGCATTCATTTTGCCTTGTAGTCATGCCTCTTCACAATCCATAGCACCGTTAGTAACAGATGCCTTCCAGTTACAATGCTCATGACAACATAATTCAATATGTAAAAGGTCTCTTATTCATAGGTCTCTCATTCATAGGGTCATCATAAGTTGAATTGACAAATTAACAACAATCACATCATTCTGACTTCTTAAAGAGAAAAAAAATCACATTCTGGTTTTGTAACTTGACTACATGGACAAAAGCTGTTATGATGCATGCCTGTCAATGTGTGTAATTGCTATTTACTGCAAATTGGACTGAAGTTCATTCAGTTGGGAGGCAATACATACAACATACAAATAAGATTTACTAGAGCTGTGGTTATCAACCTGTGGGTTCCCAGATGTTTTGGCATTCATCTCCCAGAAATCCTAACAGCTGGTAAACTGGCTGGGATTTCTGGGAGTTGTAGGCCAAAACACCTGGGGACCCACAGGTTTAGAACCACTGTACCAGAGTATAAGCTCTTTTGGAAGTACAACCTATCAGAGAAATTAATGGCTGGAGACAAGAAATGCCCTTCAAGAATCTGAAATAAAATTGACCTGGAACAAAACGTTCATCTTCCTTATGGGGAACCAGCAGGCAATATATGGGAGAAGGAGACCAACCATCTTGATAAAGAGATGGCAATTGAGGGGATTCTTTTTTTGACAAAAGTTAACATGTCAATAGTTTAGCTTATGCTTATATCTACACAGGTTCTCTGAACTTAGAGTTAGGAAGTTTTCAAAACATGATCTACATTAGTTGCTGCATCAGAGTTGTGGAACATCTTTTTTACTTTGGCCCTTTTGTTTACACACAATTTCATGTCTCACTTTTACTGCTGTTTGTTCCTTTCTCTACACTGCTATTTTCATTGAATTTTATAATTTTTATAAGTTGCCTTAAACTACACAAGGAAAAGGAAAACATTTTAAGTTTAGCGAGTTCCTGAGTTATTAAAGCTAATTGGGGTAGACAAGTAAAAGTAAAGCATTCATCCAAGACACAATCAGGGTCCAATTGGAATATTCATGCTAGCCAACAGGCTTGGGGCCTTCTCAACCAAACCAAGTCATGTCAAGAATCACACAGCAATCTGATGACACAAAGTCTTTGGAAGATATAGTGGCCATATGAAATGCTGTGTCAAAAATAATCATTTGTAAAGGAGATCACTGTGCTATTTAAAACATAGCTGCCAAAAGTGATCCGATTCTGTTACTTCAATACTATCTAATTTAAAAATGCCTCCTGATCCATTCACACCCTTTTCCCATCTAGCTTTCATGCTATAACTGATCAAAATTCCTGGACATAAGCCTTTGTGACTACAAAATAAAATGGCAGCCATACCCAAACAGCATCCCAAATGGCACAACAGCAAAACTAGCCCAGGGAGAATGAGATGGCAGAGGGGAATGCATTCATTTCATTTACGTATCATCTTTCTCCCAGAGTGAGACCTAAGATAGTCGTCGTCATCATCATCAAAATCCCGCTTTTATGTCTTAATTGAGACACAAAGAGACTCCCAATATTAGAAAAGCAATTTAAAATCTAAAACATATAAATAGTACAATTAAATTAAACATACAAATCAGTTAAAATCACTTAAAATACTTCAAAGCTGTTAAAGGAATATACAACACCCTCTTCTGTGTTCTTTAAAAGCCTGCCGGAATAAAAAGGACCACAGCAAGGAAGCATTTTGGCCTCCCTAGGAAGGGATTCCAAAGTTGAGGGGCTGCCACCGAGAAGGTCGCTGAGTCTCCTTGTGGAGAGAAAAAGTGGAGTATAAATAAACATAAGGAGGAGGAGGAGGCCCTCTTTCCTGCCACCACCAATCATGCTTGGAGCCCTCGGTGATGCAATGGGTTAATCCCTTGTGCCGGCAGGACTAATGACCGAAAGGTTGGCGGTTCAAATCCGGGGAGCTCCAGTTTCTCATGAGGGGACATGAAAGAAGCCTCCCAAAGGATGGTGACCCCCTGGGCAACATCCTTGCAGACAGCCAATTCTCTCACACCGGAAGCGACCTGCAGTTTCTCAAGTTGCTCCTGACATGAAAAAAAAGTGGTGGTGGGACCAAGAGAAGGACCTCTCCTGATGATCTCAGGGCCTGGGCAGGTTTGTGCCGGGAGATATGATCAGCCAAATAGCTTGGATCTCAACCACAGATCATTTTACAGGTCATAGTCAGCACTTTGAATTGTGCCCTGAAACAAACTGGGAGCCAGTGGGAGGAACAAGAATAACTATCGTCCGCTTGAGCAGATAGAAAAGAAAGATTGGCTTTGGGGAGCAAGCAGGCTTCTTGGAAATGAAAGCTCTCAGCTTTTTTGAAATAGTTACCCTCTTTCAGAGCTATGAATCACTAATTTAATTAGACTTCAAAGAAAATGATTAGCATTAGCAGAATCCTTTCAATATCCAATGTTCGGGTGCAACTGCCATTGCTTAACTGACCAAAACAACAGAATGAGGCATCAGCAACCTCAAGGGAATGAAAAAATAAAACCAGAAAACCAAAATCCTTAATGAGGACTGAGTGTACTCAAGCAACCAGAGAATGTGGATTGATTGGTTTGTAGGGAGTAATGCAAAATCAGGAGTGGGAGAAGGAATATGAGTGAATCATTACAGAGGAAGGCAAAGCTGGGTGACTGGAAAAGTGAACAAAAACTGCACGTTGCAACATCCTTCAAGTATTTTCCTTCAGGAGAAAAGAAATTTTAAAAAGAGGAATCCTGCATAGGTTTACACCTCAATCAATGCTTGTCACAGAACATAAACTCTTGCTGCCAAAATCATTAGTAAAAAAACTCACTACATGACAGCTTATTGTTTGTAGATACACAAAACAACAATCCATCTTCCTAATTACGTAATGTGAATTAGGCTCCTGACAGCAGCTTAACTGGATTGGAAGTTATGATTTCTACATAATGCAAGTTAAATAGTTATTTCCAACATAACAATATACAATAATATCCTTTTATAAATACAGGCAGCCTTCCTTCTTCATGGATTCTGCATCTACAGATTCCTCCATCCATTGTTAGAAAAATATTCCAAAACAAAAAAAAAATCCAATAAAACACACATTTTTTTTCCATTTTATGTAAGTATCAACATGTTACTACACTATTGATGGAACCTGAGCCATAGATGTTAGCATCTATTGGGGGGGACAGGACTAAAAATCAGTGGATACCAAACAACTAATGCAAATATATCCCAATAACTTGAATTGACATTTACCAGCACAGCACTGCAGCAAAAAACCTAGCTTGATTCTATAACAGAAACCTGTTGGAAAATAGCCATTAAAATAATAATAAAGAATCCCTGGTTAATTTTCTATTTCCCTACATGCCACTGCCTGTTAAGAAGAAACAAAAAGTTGCTAGAGCAATTTAATTGTTGACCCCCGTTTACATACTTGTCATCTATACTTCCACTTATTGTGTAGGTCCCACCTAACTTGACTGTACTTCTAGTCAGGTTAGGTGGGACGCAGACACATAGCAAAGGCCAAGGTATCCTCGGTAACCCTCTGGCTCTCCTCCACCATTGCTTAGGTCAAAACACGGCCTTCACACAACCCTATATCCAGCCTTCCATGTGAAGACCTACTAATAATCTTGTTTATTGAGGTCATCATGGATGGGTAAGGCATAGCTCCTTCCTGGTACAGGTTTACAACCACCACAAAACCCCGTAGGATTGCTTGCCCCACTCACCGCTGCCAAAATAAAGAACTGCCTGAAAAAGTGCTTTATTTTTAAGACCACAATTTTATGATTTCAAAAACAAGGTTTGTAGTCCCGACATGACTTGGTTGCAAGCAGATTTAATATTTCCAAAATGATTAGTCTGCTCATAAACAAGCATATAGCGAATGGTGGAATTTGTATTGTACAAGCCTGCAATAAAGGGGAAGGAATTGAACAAAAATGGACAAAATGGTCAGATTTCAGAAAGAGATCTACTAGCATAAGATTCATCTGCCAATTTAAGATCATTTCAAGGGGTTCTGGCCCAACTTGCCTGTCCAAACACACCTCTCCTTATGAACCTTCCAAGACTTTAAGATCGTCTGGGGTGGCCCTGCTCTCGATCCCACCTTCGTCACAAGTATAGCTGGTGGGGACGAGAGACAGGGCTTTCTCAGTGGTGGTCCCTCTGCTATGGAACGCCCTCCCTAGGGATATCAGATTGGCCCTCTCCCTTTTAACATTCCAGAAAAGAGTCAAAACTTGGCTTTTTGAGCAGGTGTTTGCAAACACAGTGTAACAGACATAGGAAAATGGAATGGTTGGACGATGTGATTGGACAATGTTTTAACAATGAGACCCTAATGAGATATGTTTTATTGACTATGCTATGGTTTTATATTATCTTAATGTTTTTAATTGTATTGCAATTGTATTTTATGGTCTTGGTACTGACTGTAAACCGCCCGAGTCGCCTGTGGGTTGAGAGGGACGATATATAAATGTAATAAATAAATAAATAAATAAATAAATTTCACTTCTCTCACTTTAATCTTGCCTACTCACAGTGACCCTTTTAGTCACACCACAGAATATGACCCACCAATCTCAACATGTTGCCATTTGAACACAATATTTTTTCAGAAATATCAATCACCAGTAGATGAAAATTACATACCTGTTTTCTCAAATATATTTTCTTGAGACTGGGCCAGCGTTATAACACCAGCAACTGTATCTCTTACTATCTGCTCTTCGCTTTGCAACAGCTGCACAACACACTTCCAAAGGAGCAGCATATCAGACAGACCTGAATATTGACAAACAAGGATGTTGTGGTGATGTTGAAAAACCCCCACATAGTTTGACATTTGTTTAATTAATGCATTAGCACATAACCTTTTCTTTCTTCTAAAGACTTGCGCAATATATATATATATATAGGGCAATCAGACAAATTAAGAAATATTATTACACATTTTGGTGCAGCAGTTTATAGAACCATAGAGTTAGAAGAAACAATAAGGGCTATCTGGTCAAGACCACATTCCAAGACAGCATATTCCACTGTTGAACAGCTCCTACCATCAGGAAGTTCTTCCTAACATTAGCTCTCTTTTACTCTGCTGAATCCAGTGCTCTGTATCCTGTATCCCTAGTATGTGTTTTGTTTTGATGGTGAAACAGAGATGCTTGATTTGGCCGATTTCTTCTCAGTTGTGTATGTGTGTTTGGTTAGGTTCCTAAAGATCAACTCTGACATTGTAACCCTATTATTGTTGCACCTCAGCCAGAGTTCACCTTGCCCTTAGCTCCAACCAGGACTCCAAAAGCAGTAATAAAACAGAAAGTACAAATAAAAAGGGAAAATCACCAAAAGGAATAAGAAAGGCAAAATCCAACAGGTAACCAGAAAAGATAGTTAATAGGTAAAAGGCCCAACAAAGCTGGTGAGTAGTAAAAGACTTCAAAGGCAATAATCTAAATAATCCAAAGGCTACAGAAAAACAAGAGTCATAACATGAGCATAAATCCAGGGAAACAAGAATCAAAACATGAACATGAATCCAGAAAAACAAGAATCAAAACTCTCAAGAACATAGGCTAAAATAGGAAACAGGACTTGAGATCCTTGCTATCAAGCAGCGTTGCCTGATCTGAATTCTCAAAGGGATACTCTCTAATTTAAGGGCCACAAAACATTAAGGCATTTCTTTGACCTTGACTTTCTGGCTTGTGAGACTTTCTCTGCTCTTCCTTCCCAAAGAGCCTTTTGGATTTCCTGAGCTTGATGTTTTTCTCCCTAAGATCAAGCCTGATATGCCTATCGAACACACTTCCTCTCAGGCGAACTATCTCGGCCTTCCAGGCCTTTATCAGGAGTTGCTAAACTACTTGTAGTGAAAAGTTGTCTCCACCATTCACGGTATCTCCCTGTCTGCTGGACTCTGAAACAGTTTTACTTTCAAGCCCCGTCTCACAGACAGAATCTTGATCTAAAATCCTCTCATTTCCCTCAGTGAAAGAACCATCCACCTCTCTCCCAGGCCCTTCAGGCTCTGGAATCCCAATCCCCTCATCTTCATCTGTCTGAACCACAACACTTTCAGGGTTTTCTTGGGAAAACTGATTCACATGAGGTTTGCCATTGCTTTCCTCTGTGCCCGAGAGAGTATGACATGCTTAAGATCACCCAGTGGGTTTCCATGGCTGAGCAGGGATTTGAATATTAGTCCCTGAGTCTCAATCCAACACCCCAACCATCACATTACGTTAGCTCTCTTTTATTCTGTTGAATCCATCCTAGTTACTTACCTAAGAAAAGCTTCTGATTCGCCAGGAAAAGAGGCGTAATGCTCACAAGGATCTCCGCTGCAGACAATTTGAGATCCATTTGCTGTTCATCTCCACAGTAAGAAGTGACTATTTCAACCCATTCTTTTACCTCTGATTTCACATCCTGTTAAAATAAACTATTCTCATTAGAAATCATGAGAATTTATTGTAAGAATCATGCAATTGTTGAATAAATTAACAGCTAAAGCAAGATCTTCAAATATTTACTATAAAATGAACTAAAAACTGCAACATTCAACACTACTGCTTTCTAGATAATTCAGTTTTAACAACAACAACAACAACAACAACAACAGCTAGACATAAGGTACGTTAACAAACAAAAATTAAAATTAAAGTGCATGAATCTGCACTGCATTTCTCCATCAGTGTTTTGTGAAAAAATATTTAGGAGTCCTCCTGGAGTTCTTTGCTTTTGGACAACAGTCACAAACTCCAATTTTGCATGTATGAAGCAAAATTGTCAAAATGAAGAGAGTGTTTGAAGCTCATCCCACAGAAAGGAAATTCTTAATATTTTAAGCAAAGCAAATTTCATGCAAACATTATTGGCAAACTAAATTTCCTTACCTCTTGCCAATTTTGTACAAGATGGATGACCAACTTTGAGGCAAACTTAAGGGCTATACTTTGAATTTCAATGCTGAAAAAAAGTTAATAGAGACACACAAAGTTAACAGTGAAATACATATTGCTGTAACTTTGAAGTGTATGTCAACCAATAATCGTCCTAGCGGCAAATACCTCCTCCTCCACACTTGTTATTGATATTATGTTCTGTTAGCTGAAGCACAGGATGAAATCTTGCCTAGTTCAACACGCTATGCCTGCTCTCCAGCTGAATATACAACCAAATGAGTTTTTTTGCATAGTCATGAGGACGTTGTGCTGTACTCTACTGACAGACTAAATTCTCATCATATTCGAATACCTAAACATGATTTGTAAGTTGGCTACGAAACAGATATGTAGTTTTGGGTTTTGGATCAAAAATAAGAGCAAACAGATGCACTTTTCTCTGCTCGTTGGGCTTTTAAAAAACTTCACACTAAAGGTTGCTACTTCTGTGCTCTGAAAATGTTGTGCTAAATGTGTTTCTTTTAAAGGAAAATAACAACCTTAAATGCTCAAAAACAAACTGAGATCTGTCTGACATCAATTATCAGAACAATAAGATTTGCACAGAAATATTTTATAAGGTTTGGAAAACTTTGGTGGGATAGGTGCTTGCCATTTTTTAATGGACAATATGTTTATAGATGTCTGGCACTTTCTTGGGATGGCCTTTTTTCTTTTCTTTTCCTCTCAATATGTCAAGTGTTACTTTGCACAGGGCCAGAAAAAATGCCGTGCTTCCTCAGAAGAAATGGAAAACCAGAACAAAAGAGCAGCTGTGTCCATAATTGTGTTTCCCCATGGTCAGCAAGTCCAAAATCAGAACATGATTACAAGAATATGTTCCTAGTCATATTCCTCAAGGAATACAGTTTCTAATCCTGGGCGTTATATATAGCTCTCATGACTATCCATCCATGATCTAAATCAGTGGTTCCCAACCTGTGGTCCATGGACCACCAGTGGTCCGCAAGAACCAAAATATGGTCCGTGGTCTCACCATTACTACGCCGTTGCAATGAGAGTGACTGGTTTCACGAAACCCTCTTATAGGACCGAGGCTTATTAAATATGGTTTTCTGTGGGCAAGCAGATGATGACTACTGGATGGCATATGTTCTGTATCAGAAACTGTGAGTTTTCTGGGCTGTATCGCCATGTTCCAGAAGCATTCTCTCCTGACATTTCACACACCTCTATGAGGTTGTGAGATCTGTTGGAAACTAGGCAAGTGGAGTTTATATATCTGTAGAATGTCCAGTGTGGGAGAAAGAACTCTTGTCTGCTTGAGGCAAGTGTGAAAGTTGCAATTGACCACTTTGATTCCCATTTAATAGTCTTGCAGCTTCAAAGCCTGGCTGCTTCCTGCCTGGGGGAATCCTTTGTTGGGAGGTGTTGGCTGGTTCTGATTGTTTCATGCCTGGAATTCCCCCAGAATCACAGAGACCTCATAAGCCATCCAGTCCAACACCCTGCCAAGAAGCAGGAAAATTGCATTCAAAGCACCCCCAACAGCTGGCCATCCAGCCTCTGTTTAAAAGCTTCCCAAGAAGGAGCCTCCACCAGATGGAATCTCCTTTCTTGTAGTTTGAAGCCATTCTTCCGTGCCCGAGTCTCCAGGGCAGCAGTAAACAAGCTTGCTCCCTCTTCCCTATGACTTCCTCTCACATATTTATACATGGCTATCATGTCTCCTCTCAGTCTTCTCTTCTTCAGGCAAAACATGCCCAGCTCTTTAAGCTGCTCCTCATAGGGCTTGTTCTCCAGACCCCTGATCATTTTAGTCACCGTCCTCTGGACACATTCCAGCTTGTCAACATCTTTCTTCAATTGTGGTGCCTAGAATTGGACACAATATTGCAGGTGTGGTCTAACCAAGGCAGAATAGAGGGGTAGCATGACCTCCCTGGATGTAGGCACTATGCTCCTATTGATGCAGGCCAAAATCCCATTGGGTTTTTTTGCTGCCACATCACATTATTGGCTCATGTTTAACTTGTTATCCATGAGGACTCAAAGATCTTTTTCACACATACTGCTCTTGAGCCACATATCCCCCATTCTGTATCTTTGCATTTCATTTTTTTCTGCCTAAGTGGAGTATCTTGCATTTGTCCCTGTTAAACTTCATTTTGTTAGTTTTGGCCCATCTCTCTAATCTGTTAAGATTGTTTTGAATTCTGCTCCTGTCCTCTGGAGTATTGGCTATCCCAATTTGGCGTCATCTGCAAACTTGATGATCATGCCTCCTAATCCTTCATCTAAGTCATTAATAAAGATGTTGAACAGGACCGGGCCCAGGATGGAACTCTTCTTGTGGCACTCCACTCGTCACTTCTTTCCAGGATGAAGAGGAAGCATTGGGGAGCACCCTCTGGGTTCGTCCATCTGATTACAAATCCACCTAACTGTAGTTTTGCCTAGCCCACACTGGACTAGTCTATTTGCCAGAAGGTCATGGGGGACCTTGTCGAAGGCCTTACTGAAATCCAGGTACGCTACATCCACGGCATTCCCCGCATCTACCCAGCTTGTAACTCTATCGAAAAAAGATAGAGTTTTCTGAGTGTTGTTCTTTATTTACCATCCTGATTCTAGAGGGTTTTTAAAAAAATACTGGTAGCCAGATTTTGTTTATTTTCATGGTTTCCTCCTTTCTATTGAAATTGTCCACATGCTTGTGGATTTCAATGGCTTCTCTGTGTAGTCTGACATGGTGGTTGTTGGAGTGATCCAGCATTTCTGTGTTCTCAAATAAAATGCTGTGTCCAGGTTGATTCATCAGGTGCTCTGCTATGGTTGACTTCTCTGGTTGAAGTAGTCTGCAGTGCCTTTCATGTTCCTTGATTTGATTATGAGCCTTGCTGCGTCTGGTGGTCCCTATGTAGACTTGTCCACAGCTGCATGGTATACGGTAGACTCCTGCAGAGCTGAGATGATCCCTCTTGTCATTTGCTAAATGTAGCATTTGTTGTATTCTCTTAGTGGGTCTGTAGTTTTTAGGTTGTCTTTCTTCATCAGCTTCCCTATGCCTGGGCTTGGCCCCACGTAAGCCACCCCGAGTCCCTTCGGGGAGATGGAAGCGGGTAACAAAAGTAAAGTTGTTGTTGTTGTTTTTGTTATTATTAATATTGTTATTATTATTAATGTGGTCAGTTGTTCTCTTGATGCAGACAAGAATTCTTTCTCCACCCTTCACAACATCTGAGGATGTCTGCCATAGATGTGGGCAAAACGTCAGGAGAGAATGCTTCTGGAACATGGCCATATAGCCCAGAAAACTCACAGCAACCCAGTGATTTTGTCCATGAAATCCTTCGACATTATTATTATTATTATTATTATTATTATTATTATTATTATTATTTCCCTGAAACCTGTTTCCAGTTTATGAAGACTGCCATTTTGGGCAGATTCAAAAGTGAAATTAGAAGACAATGAATGTAAAGAGGAACTCCCTGTGACCTCTCTTTCCAAGGCTTTGTGAACACACAGTAAAATTACAGCAGAAGTAAATGCCCTAACAAAGTGGCAACATTTTGAAATTGACCTTCTTGTTTCATGAATAAAATATAATCAAATATAATGCCTTGACTGGAAATAAACATTTTACAAATAGGTAAAATATAAAACGGCAAGATAGTATACCTGTCAGAGGTATTTGCAATGTTTGTAGCCCAATGCAAAAAATCCTTGGGACTCATACTTATAGCATCTTGGATTTTTGCAAGCAGATTTTTAAGATCCATACAGTAGAGAACCTGCAATACCTATAACAATAACAATCATCACCAGGTTAAAAAAATCCATACCCAAATTGGATCTGAAATTATTACAAAAGGAAAGGAATCTTTGTCTTTTCACCTTGCAAAAACATTCTGGCTGCTTTTCGTTGAAAGATAGCCTAAGAAGGATCTCCTCCAAACCAGACTGTAGACACAACAGAACATTTCCTCCTTCCGTTACATGTTTACAATTTGCTTGGTTCAACCACATCAGGATTGCATCTAAGACCAATAAACGTACTTCACGGAAGTCAGAAGTCAGCAGATGTGCAACTGACAAACAAGAATCTGGTCTTTTTGCTTTGATAAGTAAACCACTGTGTACAAATCCAGGATCTGTAGTTGATGAACACATAGATATGAAGAGCTTGGTAAGGCTTTGAAGATACTGAGCAAGTCCTGGAACTGCAGGAGAGAGGCTGATGCCCATTGCCAGTTCAGAATCTGAGATAACTTCGCCGATTTTCTCCTCAAATCTGAGCAGCTCTGTCCCTGGAACAACACAGGATGGAGGTGGTTGGACGAGGAAGGAAATACAAAGACATTCTTCAGTTACTGCACATAAATACTCAAAACTCAACCAAATGCAACCACTCAAATTCCAGATTTCAACAGATTTTTTTTTCATAAATAAGAAGACATAACAAATCAATAGAAGTATGTTCAACGTATGGAGTGCTAAGCCAGAAAAATCCATTTTACCCAAATCCAAATGAACCTTAGTTTTCAGAATTACATATTCAAAGATTGTTCTAGATCAGTGTTTCTCAACCTCCTTGATGTCGTGACCCCTTAATACAGTGTCTCATGTTGTGGTGACCCCCAACCATAATATTATTTTCGTAGTTGCTTCATACTGTAATTTTGCTACTGTTATGAATCATAATGTAAACATGATTTTAATTCACTGGACCAAATTTGGCACAAATATCTGATACACCCAAATTTGAATACTGATGGGGTTGGGGGGATTGATTTTGTCATTTTGGAGTTGTAGTTGCTGGGATTTATAGTTCACCTACAATAAAAGAGAATTCTGAACTCCACCAACAATGGAATTGAACCAAACTTCCCACACAAAACTCCCTTGATCAACAGAAAATATTGGAAGGGTTTGGTGGGCACTGACCTTGAGTTTTGGAATTGTAGTTCACCTACATCCAGAGAGCACTGTGGATTCAAACAATTATGGATCTGGACCAAACTTGGCATGAATACTCACTCAGTATGCCCAAATGTGAGCACTGGTGGAGTTTGGGGAAAATAGGACTTGACATTTGGGAGTTATAGTTGCTGGGATATTTAGTTCACCTACAATCAAAGAGCATTCTGAACCCACCAACGATAGATTAGGGTCAAACTTCCCACACAAAAGCTCCATGACCAACAGAAAATACTGTGTTTTCTGATGTTCTTTGGTTACTCCTCTGACACCCCCTCTCAACCACCCCGCAGGGATCCCGACCCCCATGTTGAGATGCTTAAAGAAAATACTTTATACTTCTATATCATAGCTGGTTAAAATATAAAAATTATCATTTTTAAGGCTATCCCTCCATACCTACAAAACTACAAATGTTCATTAAACTTACTATAAGTATTAGGAAAATTAATATAGGAAAAAGGAGTGGGGAATAATAATAATAATAATAATAATAATAATAATAATAATAATCCTTATTTACATCCCACCATTTCTCCAAAAACCAATAGGTATTTGACAGAGCGAAAAGACCACCATCGTATTAAGTAGTAATTATCCATTTTCTAAAGCTGTTCCACATCCAAGTTTTTAATTCTTTTCTAAAGGTAGCTAGAGGTGGAGCCTGTCTGATTTCTTTAGGGTGAGCATTCCAAAGCTGGGGGGCCACCACTGAGAAGGCCCTTTCCCTCCTTCCCATCAACCGTGCTTGTCAGGGTGGTGGTACCGTGAGAAGCCCCCCTCCCCCGAGGATCTTAAGGCCTGAATTGGTTCATCAGGGGAGATGCGGTCACGCAAATAGGCTGGACCCGAACTATAAAGAGCTTTATAGGTGATAACCTGCACTTTGAATTGGGCCCGGAAATTCACAGACAGCCAGTGGAGCTGCTTTAACAGGGGAGTTGTGTGCTCCCTGTAACCAGCTCCCATTAGAAATCTGGCTGCTGCTCTCTGCACTGACTGCAGTTTCTGAACCATCTTCATAGGCAGCCCCACACAGAGTGCGTTGCAGTAATCCATCCAAGATCTAACTAAGGCATGGACCACTGTGGCCAGATCACACTTTTCAAAGTATGGGAGCAGCTCGTGCACAGGTTTCAATTGTGTGAAAGCTCTTCTGGCCACCGCCGACCTCTGAGCTTCAAGAGTCCAGGAGGACTCCCAAACTGCAGACCTGTGTCATCAGGGGGAGTGCAATCCTGTCAAGTACAGGTAGCCACCCTATACCCTGATCAGTCCCAAGATTGACAAAGAGGACCTCTGTCTTGTCAGGATTGTTAGCCCTCATTCAGCCCATCACAGCTGCCAGGCACTGGTTCAGGAGCTGAGAGGCTTCCCTGGCATTAGGTGGAAATGCATAATGGAGTTGTGTGTCTTCTGCATACAGATGGCACCGAACTCCAAAATTCCAGATGATGTCACCCAGCAGCTTCATGTAGATGTCGAATAGCATGGGGGATAGTATTGAGCCTTGCAGGACACCATAAGTCAAATATGTCAGAAAGAGAGGAGTAATTCTATTATTTCTTTGATTTTTTTTTACTATAGAGATGCGTTTTGAATGATTTCATACATATAAAGGTTGATTATCTGAATCTACCTTTTTGTATTTGAAGTAAAGAAGGAACACTGAAAGATTTCTCAATCAAATTTTACCACGGGGTAAAGTGAGACAACCATTGCTCTTAGAATCACAGTGCTTTTATGTTGTTTTGCATGGGATTTTTGGAGATGATATTAAACAGCCAAGATCATGTTCTTTTAAAATACAAGGAGGTTTCAAAAAATAGAAAGTGATGGCAAAATTATGTATGTATGTTAGCCAGGCCTAGAAGTGGGTGTTAGCAACTGTTAGCCAGGTCTAGAAATGGGAGAGACAAAAGAAAGCTAGAAATAGAAGTTGAGCTGAAATTGCAGAAGATGAATTGGAAGTAAAATCTGAAACGAAAGAAGTGAAGAAGAAGAAAAGCAGAGCAGAGGCAAGTAGGCCAACACGAAGTAGCTCAAAAAAGCAGTCAGAAGCAGAAAAACAGCCAGAATATGGGGCTTGATTTGTGGGAGAACAGTTTAGGGAGAAAAGCTTGCCAATAAGTCTATGCAAAGAACTGCTTGCCTGGAACGGAGAGGAAGAGAAGAGGAAAAATTTAAGACCGGTATTTCTTAGGAACTAGATAGAGCAGGTATGGGCAAACCCAGGCCCAGGGGCCAGTTGTGGCCCTTTGAGTTCTTTTCTCAGGCCCTCCTCTCTCCCACTGTCCAAGCAGCATGAGGACACTGCAGCCCACTGCACCCTCATGCTGAGAGGAGGGCCGGAGCAGACACATGTAGACTCAGCCCCAGCCCCAGGCAGAGCCTCTTCCTGGCCTGCTGCTCCTTGCCGGCATGGGATGCCACCACTATATATTAACTATTTCCTTGCTGCCACCAAATACTTATTAAGGTTTCTTTTGCTGCCACCTTCTATTGTTTCATAGGCCACCTCCTTGCCAGATTGTTTAAGAAGACACACAAACTCTTCAGGTGGAATGATACAAGAATATGTTGTTTATTTGGTTCTTGAACAGTAAAGATACATACTGGTTTCAATAATCTGTCAGGTTTTACTTCTTACAGAGAATGGTCTTTTAACTTGAGTTTCTTAAAAGCAATGTTCCACACACAGGAATGCAAACAGGTTACTTTGAACCTTTTGAACCCTCTCTCCACACCAGCACTCTAACACTATAGAGGCCTACTATATTTCCTTCTCCTTCTCCCTAAAGGCTTTAACTATTTTCCTCAAAGAGGTATATTTCTATTGAACAATTCCCAAACTCTTCCTTCCTTCCCCTTCAAAATTCCTAACTAACTTTTCAAACACCAAACTCCAAAACTGAACCAAAACTATGGCTGCTTTAGCTTCTTCGTCCTCCTCTCTGGCTCTGCCCATCTCCGATTGCTAAACAACTCCTCCAATTGCATCAGCCAATCAGACTGTATTTTCAGCTATGAAGCTGCCTGATCATTCCACCCCTCTGCTCTCCTTAGCTTTTCCAAATCAGTCCTGTCTACTGCCTTTACACCAACCCTGTAAGATAGGCTAATCCATTACAAGGAGCATGGCTCCTCCACTGCTTCCTCCACCACCTTCCTCAAGGGCAAGTTCCCCCTTGTAAAGTCGCTCTGGGAAGATGAACTGCCCCCCAGGAGGGGTCTTCAGGAGGCGGCCCATGCTGTTGCCAGAAGAAGGAGCAGGAAGAAAGGGAAAAAAAGACAGCCCTGGGTAGTTGCTTGCCAAGAGGAGGATTTGACATGCCCTGCAGGCTCTCCTTCCCTTCCCTTCCCTTCCCTTCCCTTCCCTTCCCTCCTGCTCTATTTCCAAGGGGGAACTTATCCTTGAGGAAGACAGCAGCAAAGAGGAGTAGGAGGAAGAGGAAAAAAGAGCTCCCTCCTGGCCCGCCCATCCTGCTCTGGCCCGCCATGCGGCTCCCAAGTTAGAAAGTTTGCCCATGCCTGGCTTAGAGGAATCCATGTAGTCTTCCTTTCCATATTGCTCAGTAGGGACTTACTGTAAACTAAAACAAACTATTTCCCTCTCATTTTAGGATCTATTTGTGAACTCTAATGACGCAAATATTTTGTTTTTCTTTCTATATTAGATTAATAAATCTTTTAAAAAAGTTAATATTGTTGTGACTTGAAGTTATGCTTGCCCACCCCATGATTAAAGCCTTACCACATTACCCAAAATGGGATTCATTTGTGGAAATTAAAAGTTTGGGGCAATGTTGGTGGAAACTGCTGCACAAATAAAGGAAATAAGGACACTGTTGCAAAGCACTGTATATTTCACTCTGCTCATGAGACAAGGCTAAGCTGGATATCTGCCCATTCATATCCCCCCCCCCCACAAAAAAAAAACCCTGCATAGGCACCCCTTTCAGTCTATTTACTAGTAATCTAATTGGGAAGAGAGAAACCAAGCAAACAAAAATGTTCTCACTAATTTCTGGACTAGCTTTTACACATGTTTATAGAATCTCAGGCAACAACTAAATGTTTCTGACATTCCCTTCCACTCCACCCTTTTCTTAAAAAATTATTTCCCAGAAAGAAATACCCCTCATTTCCAATGATTGAAAAGTATTCATGTTTTTACCTTTGACAAAAAAAACCCTTTCCTGACTTCCATTTACATATTTATTTTTCTGCTTTACTTAAAACAAGCTCTTTTCCTTCGCCAATGCCATAATTTTTATTAAACCAATATGCACATTAATTTCCAAAGTAAATGTCTGGCTCCGTTCTCAAG